AAAAAGAATTTGGATGGTCATATAACAACACTCACACAAGCATAAGCCTACTTAAAAAAAGGCCATCCAAAACAGAGATGCTACTGGGTATCAGTTAGGCAGTCTGCTTTCTTGCTCAGTACATACTTACATACTTATACCTTGAAATATTATATTTTTCTTGCTTTAAGTACATATTTGTTAGAAGAATGACTATCTAACCATTAGAAGACCCACCGCATACATAAAGTCCATTCCAAGGAATCCAATATTTCTGTAAGGTCTTTCGAGTTCTCAAATATGCAAGTGTAGAAACATGGTTAATCGTTTGTGGACAAAAAAAATTAAAAAGCATGGAATACGTTGAAAGTATTCCCTTGCAGCATTAAGAAAGTAAAACAAAGCTCCCTTCAGAAACTAATGCAAGTGTCACCTTGTCATATCAATGAGTAGTAAGTTATGCATCTGATTAGTTACAGAATATCAATAGTATTTTTCGCGCTCAAAATACAAAGAAACCCTGGAGACACGGGTGTGATTGCGCACACTTGTGCAACCATTGAATAGTATGCATGTCTCGTTTGCCAAGATACATAAATAGCATCGCATTCGTTAATTGCAAGTGTTGTGCTATCAAGATGGATTTGACAAGCTGGCCAAAATCAGGCTTTACGTACAATTACTCGTCTTTCCCGTTTGTATTCTACTTCATCTCTTTGGTGCATTATCAATAAGGCCCTTCGAACCTGGAACAAACATCAATCAACTAACGACATTAGATTTTCGAACAACTAATGACATTAGATACAGTACAACTGTTCTTCTAAATCGGCAAAAATATGATGATTCTTACAATAGATTCGTTCATGCCCATCCTAGTGAGCTCATCAATTAGCCGCCTCTCAGATATATGGCTTCCAATTCCCATTCTTCTCTTTATCTGGGTTTCAGCTTGCTGTAAAAAAGATATGAAAACATAAATCAGTGTCGTTCAGGTTAGGCAAGTCACTAGAGCCGTGCTATTCACCTTTATCTCGTTTGCTAGCTCTGGAGTGAGGTTTATGTGTTGGTTTATTCCAGAACGGGCTGCATCCATTGTGGCATTATTAAAGAGTCTCATGGCTTCCAGGACATGGTTATCGTTTGCAACATGAGACCTAAGAAAGAGAAGAAAAATAAAAGAAAATGAGCTAATTGCAGCAAACTTATTAATCAAGGTCAAACAAAGATAACAAATTCCCATGTTGTAAGGGCAGCAAAATTAATATGCTTCGCTTATGTTTGAAATTTTGTTTGTTGAAAAGATTACAATATAGCTCTTTCGATAATATCTGGATGACATAAAATCCGGATCATGTGTAGATTACAAAATAGCTCTTTCGATAATATCTTTGGAGATTTCCTCACTATTCATCTGCTTTTGACAAGTTATGATCCACAATGTGATTTTTCGAGCAAGAAACAAAAATAAGTCAGGTAAAAAGTAACTTACAATGTCATTTTAGCAAGAGCTTCGCTCAATCTTACTATAGCTTCCAACTGCCTCACTGTAATAGGTATAGCAGCTGCCTCCCCAGTTTCATTTGCTTGCCTTCTCATGTCCTACAAGAATCAATGCACAAATAAAACTTATCAATCTCACGCGCCTCTCGAACTACAAGGAGAAATGAAAGTACAAGCATTCATAGGATCAAAATTGACTGGAGGAAAAATCAGGATGCCCATGCCGATTTGAATCCANAAAATCAGATCAGGAAAACAAAAAACTTGAAGCAAAGTTGCAGCAGCTCAAGCAGATTGGTGGCTGAAGTTCAAACATTGCTCTACTTAGAATCAAGACATCATAACAAGGCAATAACAACACAACCAGAATGGTCTTCCAGTCCTGTCAACCTCTTTCACAAAATGACAGGAATCACAACAAGACAAGCTACCAGTACTTGGGAGTAAATTAACATCCAACAATAATTTGACTGACAGCATTTAAATACAAAACTAACACGGGTAGGAAATAACTAATTATAGCATGTGCCTCAGTATCATCTAGGGCTAGAATCATCACGATACCTGTCTAATCTTAACGTAGCTCTCCTGCAACCTAGAAGCTGCAGATTCTGAGAGGCGGGGATGGCATTCCGTTCGACAATAGTGTATATACCTGTGCAGAGTAGTTTAAATATATTAGTCAAGGAAACCCATCATTTAAGCAACCATGGATGGTGGGAAAACTTAAAAAAAAAGGCACAAGATCTTAGTTAAGTAGAGACTTCTTCAGCCAATTATCCTCTTTGGAAGTCCTTATCTCGCTCATAGCAGCATCAGCAGAGGCATGAACTTTGATGACGTGGCTGGCAATATTCTGCAAATGCATCAAATTGAATTGAAGTTCAATCTTATTATCTTTCGCATTCTCAATGAACTTAAGTCAGATCAGAATGCACGGTTACCAACAGCCAAACTAACAAGAAAACAAACATTGAAATAGAACCCATTCTTCCCATCCGTGGACATGTGAATGTATAAACTATCATGTGACATTTCAATATTTCCATACCTTGTCTTGCGCATACATCTTGATATCTTTCACAATAAAAATTAAGTCAAATCTGGAAAGAATAGTGGTCTGCAAATCAATGTTGTCTTGAGCAGACTGAAAAGCAAATTGGCAGTCAGTTAATTTCTTTGATGACCTAGATATATATACAGAATAAAGGCTGAAGTAAATAGTTAGAAAACAAAAGTAAAGGACCATGAGATCATCATAACGGCCAGATGGGGGATTGGCTGCAGCAAGCACAGATGTCCTTGAATTAAGAACAGTTGTTATTCCTGCTTTAGCAATGGATATCGTTTGCTGCTCCATAGCTTCATGAATGGCAACTCTAAAAATGAAAACATAATCTCTTTTAGCTCACTAGTTCTGACCACTACAATATTAAATGTGCGTTTCTGATGTAACATCTAAGAAAAGCAAATCCCTAACCTGTCTTCTGGCCTCATCTTATCAAATTCATCAATGCAAACGACACCTCCATCTGCCAGGACCATAGCACCACCTTCCAGATAAAACTCCCGCTAGAGTATTGAGATAAGGAACACATTGCATTCATTCAAATTAGAAGATGAATGATAAACTTAAAGTGTATCAAAGAGATACAATGAGTTACGGCACTAATAACAGCTCAACAAATATTGCGAAGGTGCTTAAACTCACTGAACTATTATCACGAATTACAGAAGCAGTCAGACCGGCAGCGGATGATCCTTTTCCAGAAGTATACACAGCTACTGGAGCTGTCTTCTCAACAAACTTGAGAAACTACACATTGAATATACACCAACTCAGAAACTTATGCGCGTTTGGGTTAGACATACACAGAGTAAAAGTCCTATTATCTTCATTGAACTAATTTCAATGGCCAGATGCACCAACCAAACTATAAAGCATGCATTAACCTGTGATTTGGCTGTAGATGGATCCCCCAACAGCAATACGTTGATATCCCCTCTTAATTTTACTCCATCAGGTAAAGTCTACATAAAAAAAAAGGGTACAATCTAAGGTAAGATCCAAGAAAATAGCACCAGTCTCGTGAGTCCAGTAAGGATCATTAACGTACCTTTCTGGAACCACCAAACAGAAGGCAGGCAATAGCCTTCTTCACGTCGCCATGGCCAAATATTGATGGAGCAATCTTGGAACATATATGCTCATACGCATTACTGTCTGAAGCAAACTTTTTGAACTCTTCAATCTAAATAGGGCAGAATGTATTAGTTTGTTATGTATGTATGAAACATAAGATCACACCTTGAAAGGAATAGGGAGTTTTTACCGAAGATGGAAGCACAGCTACAATTAAAATGTTACCTCGTCTCTGGTGAAATTAGTTGGACCCCGAGAATTTGACTCTGTACTTTCTTCAAGTCCAACAACCCTAATATACGGCTGCCTAACTGCAACTGCTCCTTTGTGGCTGCACATAAATATTCAATAAAACTTACACCATGCAAGTGGGTGGAATGTATTTACTAATTGTTAACCCAGGTACAAGGGCCTTACGTAGTGGATGAGCTGGCAGCTTGAAAGATACTGTATATGCCCATAATGGTCAATCTTGTGCCAGGAACAATTGTTTGCACAAGATGGCGATCAACAGAAAGAAGCATGTTTCTTGGCAACTCTCCAGTTGGCACATCCTAAAATTTCATACAAATTAACGGAAATATAAAAATGTTGCAGAATTTATAAAACGTGCAATCTTTCAACCTAACATTGTTTATACTAGTAATAACAGGCCATGCTTAGTAATCACCTCTGGATTTTCCTGCAGTTTCAACGTCTGCTGATCAACATACTTGCTTTTATCAGGAACAACAATCCATGGATCAATTGGGCAAGGATCTTCCCCAGGCTACAGCAGTTCAAGAAGTTACAAGGCATGAAGGAAAACAAGGAAAAATATTGAATACAAAAACCTGACAATTGCATGTGATGGGAAGACCTGAGCGACATGGTCACAAGATCGCGGGACGACAGCTCCACCTAGCCCGGGACGACAGGGCACAAGCTTGACATTCTTACAGTTTTTACATAATAATGTCACATATGTTGCTTTTGCTTTAGTTCTCGATGCAGCAATGACAATCCCAGATATCTTTACCAGCTTTGAAATATATTGTGCCTACACACACATCACACCAAGAGAAAAACCACCATTTTCGTTGAACATCCCATTCTCAAAGATGATAATGATTATAAATACATAAAAAATAATAAAGCTAATCAACTAACCCCTAGGGAACGCATTGACGCAGGATCCTGCTCGGACTTCAACAGCACTTGCACTTCACCAGGCACAGGCTCCTCCATTTCTCCAGTTTCTCCAGCCACCCTGGATTTAAGGCCCACCAGCACCTCTGCTGCTGCAGTTTCAAACTGATTTTNAAAAAAAAAAGAAAAATAATGAATTGAAAAAACCGATTACAAGTTTACAACACGCACTAATTCGTGAAACCCATCCACGCAAGAGGCAAGTAGACCCAATTCCATTTGACATAAACTGAATCAAACATCAAAAACCAAATTTAAATTGTTCAATTAGTCACTATCAAGAAGAGTTACGCTTTCTCACGAGACAGAAGTTTGACGTGTTATTATACTCACGAGCGGGAGGTAATCGGCGGGGTTCTGGCGGAGGCACTGAGGGAGGGTTTGGTCGGGATCGTAGGCGATGAGGTCGGCAAGATCGACGAGCAGGTACTTGGGGTTGGACAGAAGGGCCTCTCTGTAGGGAAAGACATTGGGCTGGCTCTTGTGCTGGAAGCTCCTTATGAACTCCTTGCATTTCTGCAGCACCGCGTGGCGGCTGGCCGCCTCCGTCGGGTCGCTGACGCCGCCGCCGGCCGTGGGGAACTGCGCATGGTCACTGTAGAAAACGCCGCCCTCATCCCAACCAGACATGACTCTCACCAGAGCGCGCGTCCTCTCTCTCTCTCTTTCTCTCAGCGACTGGAAAACAAGGCGAGCGTGTGGTATTGAAGAAAGACTGGTCGGAAATCAGATCGTAGAGGAATTGAGGGTTTCGTTACGGCGCTTGACTGCTTGGGCATGAGGTGTCTCTCTTGGCGGGAAACGTTTGGCGGGAAATGGAACGCGTGATTAGCACGCGAGGAGGAAACTAATGTCTTTTTTTTTGTTCATCAACCGACAACCATATTAATAACTTAAAAAAACATAAGAGTATAATCGAAGTATCAAGTGATACAGTGGAGCAAGAATGGAGTCTAAACCAACCCATTTTGTAAACACACACAAAGGGATACAAACTAGAATAAACACAAAACAACCCTTAGGGGTGCATCATCTACATGTCCCGCCACCATCCGTTGGTAGGTTGCTTGAACATGATGTTATTAGGGTTGCTTACCCCGTTCCTTTTTGTTTTATAGTCTATTAGACTTAGGCCTTCCTTTATTGTACAAAAAAAAAAAAACGTTATGTTAAAGTGTTATCTAAAGTCTATTTTGGCGAAATGAATATAACAAAATATACTCCTTTTATACAAACTATGAATTGAGGAAATATTAATTCATATATAATAAATTAGCAAAATTCACACAATATTTAGCTTTTTTTGTACTTGTGTTATTACATTTTATGCAAAATCCTTTTAAGTCTACATAATATTTTCTATTAAATTTTATATAGCCATGTACTTTATTCTTTTTTTACAAACATTATACTAGTGACTACACTATCAAAGAGGTTACTTGTTTACTCGATACCGATTAACCGAAAGATAAAACCTAACCTGAATCCAGAGACCTAGAGCATCTCCAATAGTATATTGTCCATTTGGGGATATATAACATTAAAAAATTATAAAATTTTGTATCCAATGATTAATGTCTAACTCTAATATAATTTGTCATGTATAAGGCTATAATTAGTTGAACATGTAAGATATATTTAATATATAATATAATATACAATAGAGAATGTTTAGAAATACTTTTATGTCAAAAAATATTTCTAAACATTTTCAATGTCACATATGATTTATTAGGCCACATAGCAATAAAAAAGAGTAATCCATGAACCATTGAAAATGCTCTTTGTACAACGGGTCGGGTTCAAATGCGGATGGGGTTCAAAGTGGGCCAAAACCCGGAGCCAACCAACCACAAATAATTGAAATGAACTTTCGCCCAGCTGTCGGAACCTAGATTTCTACGTATTTGCTGATTTCTGCAACCGAATAACACATATTTGTGCTGATAATGGGGTCTCTTCGCTCTTGGTGAGGTCATTTTACTTCTGTGATTGATCAATTGCGTCTCTTATTTTACTGCCATTTTGGATGAGATTTTCTTGCTGCATACCATTTCCACACGCCACTTGCATCACTGCATAGATTTTTTTTCCTCCCAAATCATACCATGGCCTCGCCGGCGACGATAACGGAAAACCCTCCGGCGCCCCCCGCCGCCTGCGCCGCAACAGTGGAAGAAATCACGAGAATCTACAAGTCGCTGCCGCCGATCAGGCCTTCCATCGAGGAGGTCGAGGCGGCCAACTCCGTGCTCCGCACCGTCGAGACCGAGCAAAGCCTCGAGCTCGATGAAATATCCGGGATGCAGCCGCCGCCGGACGTGCCGCCGGAGTTGTTCTCCGTGCTCCAGGAGGTCAGGAGGGCCGCGGTCTCCTTGAAGGGCCACGAGCAGCGGAAGGAGGCGGCGCAGGTGGTGGAGCTCGACCGGATTTTTCAGGTGTTTGACCGGCTGATTCAGAGGGCTTCGTCGCTGGTCTCCGGTGAGAAAGTGATGGATTCCGATGGGATTGATGGGGACGGTGAAGAAGAGGCTGCGGCCTGTGAGGATGATAGGGTTGTGGATTCTGCTAAACAGGAGGACATCAAGAGTGTTGTTGATGGTGTGAAGGGTTTTGCTTCTTCTAAATTTACTGCTTCATCTTCAGGTTTGGATTTAAAAATCGTAGCTTTTTTGGCTGAATTGAGTTTTTTCATGAGGTGGGAGTTAAACATTCTTCAGGTTTTGACTTTGACATGTGGGTAAGTGTAGCTGAACATGTATTTTCTGTTGTCTGTTATTTCTATTGTGTTTGAAAAGAGGGGACTTCTAAAGTGGGATTCAAAATATTATATTACTTAGTTATATATTTACTTTGGAAAATTAAAGAACTTGATTTTCGTAATCTCGATTATAGTTCTGAATGGATCTATTGAAAAGGAAAGAATGTAATGTTTCAGTCATGCCTTTGGACTGTGACTTTTTGATGTCCTGTGATTGATTTTAATGTCGAAAGAGAGAGCATATTATGTCTAGAATTTGTCTATACTATGGGTTAAAATGGGAGTCTTAGATCCGACGATAGAGTAGGTTTTAACATTGGGTTTTTGATTGAAGCTATTGACTGTTATGGTGATTCCTTACATTGCTATTGGTTGACCAACCGAAGAGAATTGATGACTTGGTCTTGATGGAGATAATAACTTTGGTGCTCTGTAGTATGTTCTCTCTTGAGACTTTGATTGTGATCTTGTATTATGTTTTCCTCTTTTTCATTATTTTCTCTTGAATGGTTGCGAGAAAGAAGTTGGTTTTTGTTATTGCTACATTATTCCAAATTGAATAGAGTAAAATTACGTACCCAAGCATCTGATTATTTCCAACATAACATGATTCTAGAGCTGGACTAATTCAAATTATGAGAACATTATATACTATAATGCAAGTTGAATTGATTCTGAAGTCTGAAAAATATTTCAAACTAAAGTATTCAGGTTCTCACTCAGTTATTTTACACGATGACGTTTAAATATGATGCTAACAAATTCGAGAGTTACCTTGACCACTTTGGCTTCATACTGTCTTGACTGCATTTGCAGGAGAAATAGAATCAGAAAAATTAGATCTGTTACAAGTGGCTGCAGTAATCGAAAACTCTTTCAAAACAAAGGTAAGAATCTTAGATCTTCAAGGGAAACTGCTGGACAAGGTCGAATGGCTTCCTTTATCCTTAGGAAAGCTATCGACTTTAACCGAATTAAATCTAGCTCAAAACAGGATCATGGCCCTTCCAAACTCCATAGCCAGCCTCGAGACCTTAACGAAGCTTGATGTTCGTGGGAACCAGCTCATAAACCTTCCGAGTTCATTTGGCGAGCTGGAGAATTTAACCGAACTGAATCTTTCAGCTAATCTACTCAAATCACTGCCCGAGTCTTTTGAAAATTTAGTGAAAGTGATTAATCTCGATTTAAGTTCAAACAAGTTCTCGAGCCTGCCCAGTACAGTTGGGAGTTTAATTTCTCTACAGAGGCTGAATGTGGACACGAATGATCTCGAAGAACTTCCTCACGCTATTGGCTCGTGTTTATCTCTTGTGGAGTTGAGATTAGATTTCAATCGACTCAAAGCTCTTCCGGAATCAATAGGAAATCTCGAACAACTCGAGATTCTGTCTTTGCACTATAACCGGGTAAAAAGGCTTCCATTGACAATGGGGAATCTTTCGAATTTGAGGGAACTTGATGTTAGCTTCAATGAACTAGAGAGTTTGCCCGAAACTCTTTGCCTTGATGTGAGCCTGAAGAAACTGAACTTAGGGAAAAATTTTGCAGACTTGAGGATGCTTCCGGAATCTCTTGGGAATCTTGAGATGCTCGAGGAGCTCGACATTAGTGACAACCAAATAAGGGTTTTGCCCGATTCATTCAGATTTTTGTCGAATTTGAAAAATTTCCGAGCTGACCGGGCTCCTCTGGGAGTGCCACCTAGGCACATTACAAAATTGGGTGCACAGGTATGTTAGTTTGGAAGACAACTGTGAGTATCAACAAGCATAAATACTTTAATTTTATTTGTAATTTTTGTAATTTGGCAGGCTGTTGTACAGTACATGGCTGATTTTGTTTCTGGGAGGGATTTAGAGAACCAGAGGATAAAGAAGAAGAGAGGGCTGTGTTCTTATATATGCCCATTGCTCTGTTTCGGCGTTGGGAATGAATAATTCTTCACCTGTAAGTATATATTTTTGTCTGTGAGCATGTATATGTCTGGATTTCTAAGGATGCTTAAATTTCCACTGTAGATGATTAATGCATATAATTCAAGCATCTTCAAATACTTTTAATTTGTGTGAGTTGTCAAGCACGACTTTGTTGTTTTGCTTCCTTGTTGTACAAACAATGCGTTTGAATAATGAGATGTAAATTGTTTTTCTTTTGTTCGTTGTGAATTGAAGAGTTGTTGGGAAAAACCATATTAGAAAACTGTATATGAAACCTAAACATTACGTGAACTGAACGAAGAAGCATATAAACGGCACAAACAGTAGCCTAACTATGAGTGATGAGGCCCAACTTATGTAAATACAATCAAATGTAGCCCCTTTTTTATCAATAAAATGTAAAGAGTATATGTTTGTCAGTATTTTGTATTTCATTTTTCTCTTCAGGCTCTACCATGTTAACGAGGGAACTCCATACCGCACCCTTTTTATTTTGTTTTCCTTCGTTTTTCTGTTCATTTCTGGTTATTACATTAATGGTTCCCCTCTCTTGAAGAATTGTCATCTGAAATGAGTGAAATAGCAAAACTAAAATGCCACAATTATTCATTGAGCACTTGAACTGCTATAGAAGTGTGTGAAATATGAAAAAATAACCTATGATTGTAAACAAATACTAGAGAGAGTTTGTAAATGAACAGAAGCGTAAACAAAATTGCAAACATTTTGGTAGAGTTAACCCTACCAAATGACTATAACGCAGTAGCCGGATTTTTTTAAAATTTAAAAATCCTGTTGTATTTAAATTTTTAAGACATTTTAAAGTTTGGATGTATTCATTTGATTAAAAATTCTAAAGTCTTGTCGAGATTGAGATTTGTTAGAACTTTTAATATTTGTGAAATTTCAAAAGAAAAAATTATATGCAAAATCACACCTCGAATCTCACCTTAACTAAATTTAAGATTTGATAAAAAATCTTAAAAATTCTTAAATCTTCAAAACCTTATTATGTCACTCAAAATCTTCCAAAGGAATACACATTGGAATCCAATTCGAATGACTGTTTGACCAAGAAGAGGCGAGGCAACTCTTCAGACTCCCTCTCTTCTTTCCGTATATCTCCTCTGCTTTGGCAATTGGCAGCACGACAAACGATGCTTAATGAATATATAAGATTTTCAGTAGGTAACTGAAAGGTCTCAACAGCTAACAACACGTCTCTAATTATTGCAAAACTCCCATATATATGCATGCACCCGTAGAGCTTTTGATACATAGAAGCGAAAAAACCTAACC